TTATTAAACACTGCTCCGATGGCAGGAGTCCTGAAGGAACATCTGCTTTCATTACTAATCCCAGGAGGTAACTTGAGAACTTTAAATATCTGAGTTCGTTCAGCATCTGCCCCAAAAGCTTTTGTAATTATATTACGCAACTCTAGTGTTAGAATAAATTTATCAACGCAAATGGTGGTTATTCTGAGCTGTTACACTTAACACAAACTCTCTAGAGATTAAGAAAACATTTCTAAGTTTTATATCAATACCTGGCTTTCGACATTCTTTCCATTGCATTCGATTGTCATAATTTATAACTTGCCGGAAAATATAAGCCAATACTGTAAAGATATTTCATTTTGTTGAATTGATTTTTTGTTTTTGCCTTTTTTTTTTTTTTTTTTTTAATAAGCCGGTAAAATTTGGGTATCTGAAAGTGGTGAGTAAAAACTACAATTATTTTGTACAAAAAAATAAGAAAACAAACATATTTTACGACAGGAAAAATCGAGATAGTGTATCTGTTTCCGATATTTACAACCTTAGCATTGTCAGATATCATGGACTTTTCAGTCTCATACACATTAATTCCGACATTCTAGAGAGAATTATTCGCTAACTTAGGTACCTCCACGAGATCACTAAAAGAGAGCATAGCATGATGAAAAAGACGCCGAACTTGACGAAAACAAAATTTTATCCTCTAAATGTTTATGTTATTATTAAGAGGAAAGATCAAAGTATTTTAATAATCATATAAACATTGAGACGATAAAATTTTGTTTACATCAAATTTGGCGTCTTTTTCATCATGCTATGCTCTCTTTTTAGCGATCTCTTGGAGGTACCTACGCTAAATGAAAGCTGTTATTTCTCTAAAAGGGCATAAACGAAAAGTTTAGCTGACGTAGTGGATTTAATTTATTAAGTTAAGTCTAGGTACGGTAGGGGTGCATTTTTCAATGAATTTTGACACTCCCTACCCAAGCTAGACTTAACCTCTTTTTCGAACATAATTCATAATTGATACAATAATAGTTAATAAATGATTAGATTTATCTGTGTCCTTGGAAACAAAAAAAATATGAACTGTAATGTGCGTTTACAACTCAGTAAATTTAAAAATAGGTTATTCCAAAATTCGCTTGAATATGAAACAGAACTAATGCTTTTAATTTAATTATATAATTAAATTTGAAGTTTTTTAGCTTCGGTTTTTGAAACATGGTAATTCCTGTGTAGCGAAAAAAACATATTTTAAATCAGTTAATTTATTATATATATATATATATATATATATATATAATTATTTTATATATAAATATTTTATATATTATATATAATTATTTTATATATATATTATTATATATACATATATATATATATATATATAATTATTTTTTATAAAAAAGCATTATTACATAAATATGCTATAAAATCACTACAAAATAGCCATTTTGTTTCAACACCCACGGTGTCTTATCAAGTGATGATGCTGAAGATAAAATAAATGGCTATTTTTGTAGTGACTTTATAACATATTTATGTTATAATTTTTTTTTTCTAGTTTTTTTTTTATAAAAAATAATTATATCTGCTCTACTTTGTATTGAGCACTCTTTTAAGAAAAGTAACTGTTGGTTACTGGAATTCATTCCGTATACACCAATTATATACTTGTATATATATATATATATATATATATATATATATATATATGTGTGTGTGTGTGTGTCTTTGTGTGTCTGTGTGTGTATGAATGTATACGTACGCCTTTTTTCGCTTAATATATATATCAATTCTGTTTTACAGATAATTAAAAGACATGAGTTAATTTATTTATTTGCGAGTGATAAACAATTGTGGCCTCCTGGTTTAATGTCTCTGATTAACATAGATTACAAGCACTTACCTTGTGGATTAGAATATTCAAAAATTCTTCAATGCTAAGAGAATCGATTCGAGTTCAGATCAATTCCAGATTTACCATTGGTTATTTTTAATGAAGGAATGCCCTCCAAAGGCCACAACAATTTTCTTTTTGTTTTACACATTCTGATCTTGTTCCATACAAACACCTTACAAACACCATACACATTAATGTAAATCTCAATACTGTTTCAATGTTATCTCTGTGTATTTCGGCATCTATCTTTATTATTCATTTATTGCTTTTGTCTCTTGCTATGCGTTCCTGTTTTTCCTTTCTCAGCCATCTTTATCACCCTGTTTTTTTTTTTTTTTTTATCTACTCCTTTCCCCGTCGCTATTCCACTTCACTTTCATTATTTACTTGTCCCACCCAGATTAAGGTAATGCAGTGCAGAAGATACGTCAGTGCATTCGGTCTGTGTTTATTGTTTTCTGTTATTTTCGCGATGTTAGCGGAATGCATAAGAACGTTTCGATGTCTCTTCTGTTGCAAAACCGGTCGTTACACGGTGCAAAACTCTTAACAGCTTAGACATAAAAGCTAACAATCACTCTCTTCATTTCAGAGTTAAATCCCAACAGTAGAAAGCTGTCCATCCATACTTATCTTATTTCCTCTTGTGTCTGCGGAATCTAGAGTCGGTTCTGTATCATTATAGACAATCATCGACAAGCATCGACAAGTCTTAAACAGCATTCTCCTTGAAAACCACCTGGCCCCATTCTTCACACATAAGAGTCATAACTAGAGTTCCTACAGAAAAAAGAAATGGCCACGCTGCGTTACGCTAAATTCAAAGTTTCAAATTTCTGTTTTATCTATCTGTTATATCTGTTAACACATATATCTAGCTAGCTAGCTCTATATCTCTTTATCTATCTTTCTATCATAGTCTGCTCATATCTTTCTATTATAGTTTGTTTTTATCTATTTATCTATCTCTATACACAAATACACAGAGACACACACACACACACACACACACACACACACACACACACACATATATATATATATATATATATATATATATATATATATATATATATATATATATACACTATATTTTCTATTTATCCATTATATTTATAGATAAATTTATTTAAGTAAATACTCTTTTTTTTATTTTGATAAAATCAGTGATAGACATGGCACAACGTCATTTTTTAACGTTGGGACCCGAGTGTCTTCATTCGGGCCGCAGGTCTTAGCTGGTCATAGCTTGTCCAAGCCGACTGATTGCTAGCTCTATATCACTTTATCTATCTTTCTATCATAGTCTGCTCATATCTTTCTATTATAGTTTGTTTTTATCTATCTATCTATCTCTATACACAAATACACAGAGACACACACACATACACACATATATATATATATATATATATATATATATATATATATATATATATATATATATATATATATATATATATATATATATAATATTTTTTCTAATTATTTTATAAATAAATTTATTTAAGTAAATACTTTTTTTTATTTGGACTCTGAAGTTGAGTAATATAGTACGTCAGATCAATTGACGGTCCTGTATAGGATACAGGTTCGATTCCTGTTGGAGAACCCATATATTCTACGAAATTTCTCGAAAATTAATACCGGTCAATGTAATTAATATTTTTTTTGTTTAAAAAACAGAGCATTTTCTAAAATAAATTGTACCATTAAAAATAATATATAAACAGAAAATATTTTAAATAATTGTCGAATATATAATATATATATATATATATAGTCATTGTGAAAAAGCAAAAGAGTTTGTCTGTGGCAGAGACTGTTTCGCTGTTTTTTACAGCTCATCAGTGTGGCTAGACATCAGATTGCTTCAAACCGGGATCGAAACACGACTGATTTGGCATCAGCCTGAGATTTTTCCCCACTAAGCCATCGATTGACAAGAAGTCGAATTTTTAAGTACTTACTGTCTGACTAAACACGACAATGACTGACAGTGCTCAACTAAGGGTCGAGCTTTGTAATATTAGTAGTAGTTGTCATTGTTTACAAATTCGCATTTATTTTCCAAGAGTGCAGAGCCGAATTTAAGTTTTTCAGGTGTGTATATATTGTCATCCACAGATAGACTGTTTCGCTGTCTCACAGCTCAGCAGTGTGTGTAGACATCCGATTGCTTCAAGCCCGGATCTGAGAACAATGTTGAATCTGTTGTGTACAGTTTTAGTCATTTACAAGTCAATGAGTTTTATTGTTAACCTTCATAAAATATTTACTATAATCAGATTTGATTATGCCCGTCAATTATTCTTTTTAGTATTAAACTGATATTAATATGACAGTCCTCCTTGACTGCACGTATTTACGTGAAAAATGAATTAATATTTCAATTTGGCATTAATATTTCTATATCTTTAAGACAATTCGCTGTCATTCGAGGTACGAACAGTTCAACCATATTTTATTAGATGAATCAAATTTTGTAGATTTGCAATGAGCTAGTCTAAACTTACTGAGGTTTACAGTGGTATCAGTTTGCTTTGCGTATCCACGTCCGTCCACCGAAGATGGTGAGCTTTATTGTGTTCACACTGGTGGTTTTGCATATTTTAAATCGCTACTGAGTATGTGTATGTATTTACTTGAAACCACAGAGTCAGGTTGTGGCAGAACGTCATTTTTTAACGTGGGGAGCCGAGTATCTTCATTCGGGCCGCATGTCTTAGCTGGTCATAGCTTGTCGAAGCTGGTCAGAGCTGGTCTAAGCTAGTCGTAGTTGATCCGAGATGGTCAGAGCCGGTCAAAGCTAGTCATAGCTGTGATACTTCCAGCGCAGGGATGGGCCCCTGCGACCGGTAAGTATCAGAATGTGTATACCACACGAGAGAGCAGCTTACACCATTGCTACTGAGTGTATCGAGGTTGAAACACAGCTAATACTCAGAACTTTTTATAACATTAATCTTTCTTAAATGCTAATCTCTCACGTCTTCATTCATCAGTGATAGAATGCTCATCTGGAGGTTAATCGAGTATCTCAGATTAGCCAAAACGCATCTTATTCTTTACGTTTCAACTAATATTTGTCGGATTAACGACTGAATCACGTTGAGACATTAGTTCTCGTACGATCACCGAAGTTAAGCAACGGCGAGCCTGGTCAGTACCTGGATGGTTGACTGTTTGGAAATACCAGGTGCTTTAAGCTTGGCTGTCCGGGTTCTGTGATGGATACCGGCTCGGAATGAGAAATCGGGGAGCCGCGATTGAATTCAGGTCGGGTTTTTTCTATTCATTTTCGCGCAAATACACATTGAGAAATTTATAAACCCACCTTTTCTCCACCGGATATTTGTCAGATAGTGGGACTTGTATCTTAAAGCATTGTTAACTCCCAAAAATATATTCCCGCTCCGTGAAAAAAAAATAGTCAATAAATACATAATACCACATTTCTGCCTGTTACTAAATTCTTACAAGTAAAAACAAGAAAATATAATGCATTATCTAATTTATAATAGTATTAGCGGTAATTGCTTAAAGCTAATATATAAAAGAAACATTAAAATAGAAAAATCCTGTTTTCTCTTCCCAAATTTAATAATGGAAGTTATTCTCGGCTTTGAGCATAGGGACACACTTGGATTGCACATTCTCTTTACCAAGTGACTTGTTAAAACTGATTCGTTTGTGTTTTTCTTTTTAACAATGAAACCATATTTCCCTAAGATGACACACACACACACACATATACACATATATATATATATATATATATATATATATATATATATATATATATATATATATATATAAGACCAATCTAAGCACTCTACAATTGTTATATTCAAAGTTTTGTTTATTTCTGAAAACAATTCAAGAGTGCTGCATCCACTGAGAATCAAACTTAGGTATTTAGCTAGTAACTTATTTTGTTAGTAAAGCCTATAAGACATTGTGGTGTTGGCACATATACAATTCCATTTATGAAGGTTATTTATTGTAGATTGTGTAAAATTCAAATTCATGATAGCAGTGAAATGGTCTGCCAGGCGAACAAGCAAATCATTATTTTAAGATGTGCGCCATGATAATTGTAATACATTTTAGACTTAACCAAGTCAAGACCAAAATATCATATCTTTCCCAGTCGGAAATTTCGCTCACTCTAAAGTTCGTCATGGTCCTATTTTTTAAGACCAATCTAAGCACAAATGTTCTCTATCACATTCGGTTGTTATACATACAGGGTGCGATGAAGAAATTGTTGTTTGATTACGCAGAAATGAAAATAATACTGACATCTCATTTTAACACACATAAAATTACACAAAAATATCTTGAAATTCTGAAGAGTACATTTATTCAAGAAAATCGCCATTGGCTTCAACCACGGACTCCAAACGACGTTGAAATCTCCTGCATTCTGGACGGTCTCCTTGTTTAAGTAGATGAATGCTGCTATAATCCTTGCCTTCAGTTCATCTTTGGTGTTACAAGGAATGTTGTTAGTCTCTTGTCCAACTTCACTTCTACTTATAGTAAACAAGGGAGTTGCAGTCTGGGGCCAGATGTCATGAGTAATGTTGTCGCAGAAATTGACTGACAGCCAGGACTGGGTTCTCTTGCTGGCGCAGAGTCATGTTACTAGACACTGGGTCATACAGCAGCCAGTCGCTTGGCCCACGACAGAGCTAGTTCCTCAATGTACTTGATGTAGGCCTCCGTGTTGAGTCTGAGGCTCTCACAAAAAGATTCAGGTGTTATTTTCTTTATCAGAACTATAAGATTGTGTTTTTCGAGTTGCCGTACCTTTCCGAATAACTCTCCGTTTCCTCCACACTGTCCTTAGATTGACACCCAAACACGGAAACGTTCGTATCTGGGGAATAAGTACATCGAAAGCGTCATACAGAACCATCATTGTCTCCTTCCCTCTGATGATTTGTTAGTCCGAGTACGTTTTTCTCATTTGATTTAGATGTCTTTTATGTACCAATCTAAACCCTTTTATCATGTACAATACTTTTGCCGTACTTCTCTCGTCTACTCCGTCTTACGGACATTATTTCATATTCCTTTAAGTTCGAAAGAATACTTTTTAACCGGGTTTGAAGTATATCTGAGTAACGATTTTTTTTTTTAATTCTCGACGTTTTTTTTCGGTAGCAATTTGTCAAACACCGAAGTAATTTTCCCTGTGAATATTGGTTCTGCCAAGGACACAGCTGATACAGTGTTAGGATTAGCTTTCACCCTATATACACGTAAAATGTTGTACGGTTAATACGACACTGAAATCCGTAGACGTATTCGGATGGCCAAGGTTATATTCCAAAAACTCGGCAGAGTATTGCGAGACAGGTGGATTTCTCTGCCAATGAAGAAAAGAATACTGAGATGTTACGTTGCATCTGTCCATCTTTACGGCAGCGAAAGTTGGACGATTTCCTCGAAGATGAAGAGACTCGAGGCGACGGAGATGTGGTTCAACAGAGAATGCTAAGGATATCCTGGACCGAGCGTGTGAGCAACGATGAGGTCTTAGAGAGGAAGCAAAAATGGAAGTCGCTTATACTTAACATCAGAAAGATGAAGCTGAAGTTTCTGGGACACATACTGAGGACGGAGGGTCTGGAGAATCAGATACACACGGGTCGAATAGAAGGAAAGAGAGACAAGGGAAAACAACGCGTGACATATCTGACGGGCTTAAGCAAGGGAATGACAGAAATGGTCTCGGGTAGGAAGCAAAGGGAAGGAACTTGTTGAGAGCTGCAAGGGATAGAGGTGAGGGATGTGGAGAGCCGTGATAGCCTACGTCCTGAAAGGACATGGCACATAAAAAAGAACTAATAACATATCCTTTGTTCCACCTTTATTATTTTTATTGCCATTTTGAATCTATCAATGTAGTGTTCTGCTTGCCCATTCGATTTTTAATGATAGCAGGGAATTGGTATCCGGGACAAGCGTATCTAGCAAATAATTTTATTGTAATGATAGAATTTGGTCTCTTGCATTTTAAAATTTCTAGCTATTATTAAAAACTGTCGATAACGATTAGGTAGTAGACACTATTTATCGGTCCTGTGAAATGAGGGCACCTCGAGGTAGTGTAATGGTTAGCAAGCTTGTCTCACTAGAACTATTACGGTTGAGTAGTGAGTTCGATTCTCACTGGGCGCCCCCTAAATTCGGCCTTGTGCCACAGCTATGCTTAGAAAATCACTATCGGTCCTGTGAAATTGATATGTAATCTCGTCACTGAGTGTCTCTGTTTTTGTCCGTACTGGGCCAGTAGACATAGCAGGTGCGTGACGGATTACATGCTAGAGATTCCTGGATTACTTCTATGAAATTCCTTCTACACCATTTACTGAAGAGATGCAGGCATTACAATTCTTTCACTATACATGAAGTCTTCATTGGAAATTGAGAAAATATTGTCACTTTTGTTTTAATTTAATTTCAATTTTTTCTACATCAATTTCCATCTTACGTGCTTTTTTTCTCTAATTAAAAGTATCTACTTGAGCTTTTATTTGAATTTAATCCATCGTCACTGGTAGATCACGTACGGTATTACAGAGAAAGTTCTTAATTTCATGCTGCAATTACTTATCTTCTAAATGTTCGCATAATTTATGTATGAGTCCCGACAAACTATCTGTGTGACAGCTTTGTTGATATCATGAATTCCATTTTAGAATTCTAATTCAACAGAATTATCCCCTATCGCTGTTGTCAATTCGCTGTATGTGTCGGGATACACTTTTTTGACGTAGAATCAGATAACAATGGACGGTTGTTCATCTGTAGAGCGAACCTTCTACCGTGGATAAATTTCTGTATTTTTTGTTGTTTGTTTGTTTTTTTCTTCAGAAAAAATTTATTCCCAACGCCTCGTTCTCTATCTGGCTAGAATACTTCGCAGCCGATAAACAAGTGTTTTTGGCGCGTGTGTTCTTGCTTTTACAGAACCAAGCTTGGTGCTTGTGCAAAATTACGGCACTTATATAGTAGTTACTAGTGTCGTTCGCCACGATTATTTCTAATTTGAGATGAAAATGTAAGAGAAACAAGCCTGATGTTAGAATTCTACTTGGAGCCTATTTTCGTAAATTATTTAATAGTCCTCGCAAAAAAAAAAATACATATTCGGTATAAAGACATAATCATTTATGAAAAATAAAAATATTTGTAAAGATTACACATTTGTTACGGATGGCATATTTTTAAATGCACTTGCTCTGGTTGGGTCTGGTTTTCTACAGTTTTCGTCGATGATTTGATCAAAATATTTAACTTTACAATGCGACCTGTTGTTTCTCACATTTTCACAGTCCAATCGAAACATCGTTAATAAAAGGCCAATTCATCTTGAAATGTAGTTAGCATCATTCGTAACATAGATTTTGTAAATATTTTGTTTTCCCTATATGATTTTGCACGAACCATATTTATGTGAGATAAATCTCTTTCCTCAATTCTAGCCGTGTCATGTGGTAAGTTCACTATTCTTTGACACTCTTCAGCTACAGCATGCAAGGTCATTTTTGTGTCCTGTTCAAGCATTGTCAAAATTCTAGGATGGATTTCAGCATCCCGAATTCCTATCAGCCCCTGTGCGAAGATCAATCCCTTAAACATGGCGGTTGGTAGTTCGCTTCCATTGAACTTTTCAAATTTCCTGTTTACGGTAGTAGCATAAATGTTATAACCTTCATATTCTCTTTTTAGAAGTTTTAGACATTGACAAGGTGTATTGAATGAACAATGAATATTTTTCACAAATTTTTTTTTTTTCAAGCGACAATTCGCTCGATTTCTTTCGGTAGAATGTAATCCACGTACTTTTCGTGATACGTGTGCCCAAAGTTTCTTAGTAACAGGCGCCATTTTTTTCTCGTCCAACCAGTTAATACATTAGTTTTTAAAAATTTACTCATAGCATCTCCATGCTGCAAATGTAACGGCTGCAGTGTTATATTTAAATTTATCAATTCCTCTGAATCCTGTAAGAAAACAGTAGACGTGTTTTCGTTACGTTTACTCTCCATAAGTTCTATTATATTTTGCTAATATTCTTGCTGTCTCTATAATGGGTTTTGTTTTTTTTTGTGGGGGGAATTGTTGTGGCTGTTCTTGCTGTTGTTGTTGTTGTTGATCTTGTGCTTGCTTTATTAATTCTAATATTA